CTCCTTCTGTCCATCATTCATCTCATTTCGATACAGTCAGTCGTTGAGTAGTCGCAGTCCTGCTACTTATATATACATACATTATATATTATATGTGTTGTATATTCCAGCGTATAATGCGTACGTTTATTACAAAACATAAGATGGAAATTTACACGTGCGCTTTATACGCCGGATGTAAAAATGGTAGATTTATAAATAAGAAAAACATGAGCATACAGAAATCAGGTTTCTACATGTACTTAAAGGCCGTTTATTTAAAAGAAACGACACAACCTTACGAATTAAAATAAAAATTTCATTATCGAATAACATGAAAAGTTCGTCATATTGTTCGTGACTTGTTGTTTTTATGTGAACGGCTTTTGTTCCTTTCACATCAATTGTTTTATTTCCTATCATATCAAACATCACTGGACTTTTATCCGTATTTCCAATATGTGACAGTACTTTTTTTTTGGCCTTCCTAAGTATGTTCCTACATACATTTGGAAATGTAATCAGTTTAAATCAAATCTTTCAAAAGGCCTTTGTGAAACTTTTGTTTTTCTCGAAGGACTGAATTCTGTGCTATAGATCGACTACTCGAACTTAAAGTTATTAAAGTTTTCATTTGCACTCTTTATTGTCTACCTTAAGGCAAATTAACATACTCTGTTTTTTGTTTCCAGTAATCCATTCTGGCGATTTTTTATCACCCACTGCGCAATACTTGGTTTCAGGGAGAGGCCGTTTTGTTACTGTTTTATGCGAAGCATACTTCTTTTTACTTCCTTGTACGAAGTAAAAAGGAAGTATTGTAATCGCGAAAAGCTTCAGGCAGCATATTTCAAAGAAAATATGCACTTTGACTGCTTTCGAATGCAATTTAACAATGTTTTTGCATGATATCTGTACGTAAGAACAGAAAAAAGACGCTTTTCCTCCAAAAAAACTAAAAAACTGCTTTAAAATGAATTCTGAAGAGAATTTTTCGTGGCGTCTGTACGAATGTATGTACGTACGTGCGTATCTCGCATAACTCAAAAACGAGTAGCCTCGGAACGTTGAAATTTTGTATATAAGACTACTATAACATGTAGATGTGCACCTCATATTTTGGTTTCAATCGGCCGCGCCAAACGTATATAAATATATTTATAAATATATTCACTCTGTTACCCGGCTCAGTGATCTCAGTTTCTTTACTCTTATACGTTTGTAAATTGTACATTTTTGCTTTAAAAATTATTGAATTATGTTGTTTTTATCTTCCGGTTAAGGGTTTTATGCCTTTAGTAAATCTGTATGCAATAGTTTTAGAATTATCAAGAATTTTAAAATTGTTTAAGTGCCGCTAAGCCTAATTTGATGGCGGCCATTGCTCTTGTTTACATTTGAAACAGCTGAGTAGCGCATTCGTTGCAAATCTAGAGAAACCTAGCTTCGCAACAACAAAGATAACGCCTTCATTTATTATTTAAGTCATGCTTAATCCTTTCTGGAATTTTTTCGAGGAAATAAGCGTTTAAGATTTACTTCCTAATTTTTAATACAGATATTTTGAGTTTTTATGTATTTTTGCCTTGTCGCGAAGTGAAAACTGAATTAATTGAATGAGAAATACTCAATCGTCTGTGAAAAACTGTTTCTTTTTTGTTTTGTTTGCTTATTTCTTTTATACATAGTTCTAGCTTTATTATAGTATTTGAATAGAACATGTTACAACGATTAGATAATTCTGTAAATGATATAAATTTTGTGCATTCTGAGTTATAATATGAACGAAATATAATACTGTTAAGTAAACCTAGCGCCAGAATGTCGCTATGGTAAACAAAGTGAATTTTAAAGAATGCATTTATTCTATTGTGGTTTATGCGCTGTCGGCGAAGTAGGTTTAATTCCATATAATAAGTTTAAATGAAATGCAAGGAAAAATGCGTATAATTTAATATTCCGTACAAGGAAGTCATGTCGTGTACACATCAGATTTTTTGGTTATACTAAATATTGTGATTTCAATTTTCTTCCACTCATAACCACCAAACATCGTTGCTGCAGCAGGATTTCCATTTCTTTTGCAAATTAAATGACTTTATATTTAAAATCAATACTGCGTTTGTTTCCTATGGCAGGAGCCAAATTTACTACTAAAAGGAACGCTAGAATACCTGTATCTCAAATAAAGCAAATGCGATTTAGTATTAAAGCCATTTAGTATGTTCGCTCCAAAATCACAGCATCAAATAGCTATAGAAAGGAAAAACAATCGATTTCTAATTCCACGAATTGATTCGGGTCGGAACAGCATTCTTAAGTTAAATTCTTCAAGTTATAGTCTCCTTTTCTGTAAACCCTATAATAACTTTCTCAGGTACAACCCACCCTCTCTGCAGCATTATTTATTTCCTCAAGCATTTCCCTCCACACACATATTATTGACACCTTTTACCGCTTGTCAGTTCAGTATACCATTATTCGTTATCACAGGAAAAATTCTCGAATGAATGACTTCACAAGATAACAGCATCGCACTGCGCGTTATACGGAGAATATACTTAAATATTAAAATTAAAAAATAATAGTTTGAAATTATAGGTGAACGTTATACGTCGGTGCGCTTAATGTGCTGGAATATACAGTTATTAAATGAATAAATAAGTAAAAAAAACAGCTCAAAAAGAAATCAAATTGCGTGCTAATAGCAGCAATAAATGGCGGTAAAAATGTAAAATAAATAAAATTAAAAATACGTTAAAAATTCATTCCATATATAGCTCGGAATAGACTGCATTCAAAAACCAAATACTAAAAATAAATATTTTTACTTATTCATTTGCTTATTTTTTATATATTTATTTACTCAGTTATACAGTTATTTATTTACATTTTTACTTACTTATTTACTTGTTTATTTCGTCGTACCAACCCTGTGATGACGATGTCACGAAAGATATAAATTTAAAAAATGTTTTCTGGTTTTGGCATATTCTCCCCTCCCATTTCTTGCAGTTTGCCACTGTGCATTTATTTTTTGGTTTTTGCATGTGGTTTATTCCGTATACAGTAGGAATTTTAAACGCAATTTTTAATTTTATGTTGCATTATATATAATAAATAAATAGTAATGACTAATTTATTACTTTACAATAAGAAACCAAAAAATACACATGTATTAAATTACGTAAATTTTAAATGCAAAAATAAAATATATAATGCACTACATTTGAAATTTTGGGGATAAGAAATTAATTAAAATAACCTTTATGAGAAATAAATTTAAAATTTATCTTGCAGGAAAATTAATGATTAGAGATTGAAAATGGGAAACACAGCATTATATTAAATAAATGAACAACTGATCTGGTTTAATTCGTTTTCAAAAGGACAGACAAGTCCAAAAATGTCTGCCTTCATTTAATAAATAAAAAGCGTAATCAGACTATTTTTCTGTAATCAGACGCATATAATGTAGCACAGAACCAAAGAATTAAAAAAGCAAATTTTTAATTCAATCAAAAATAATAATTACATAAATCACATTAACCCCGCTTATCACCAATTGCAATTGCCTATCTGCCTGTTGTCTATAGTCCTAATTTCAGTAAAAAAATAATAATTTCCATAATAATGCTCTAAAAATCTTTAATTTTAATGGTCGGGCAAATTTATGCGGGAACAAAATTAAACTTTCATAAAAATTAATATAATGTTAAAATTAATTCGTATTATCAAATTAATCAGTTGATAATACGAAAAGTAGAAAAACATAATAAGCACTAAAATATATTGAGGTCAAAATTGGAGGACTCTAAATCTAATTGGAGGACAAAAAGAAATTAATATGGTTTCATTGCGATCTGTGCGGGTTACACCAGTTTAACATGGCTTTATACAAGTCCCCGTAAATTGGTATTTTTACAACTTTCCTCTTCCCCCCCCCACCATTTCCGAAGCTGAATCTGGTGCGCACACAAACTACAGGTAAAATCTTTTTTTCTTAAATACTAAATCATGTAGAGCCTATATGTCTCTCTCGTACTGTAATGATGGCGAACTAGCTTCAAGAGGTTTCAAGTTTTTTGTGAATGTAAAGAACAACACGAGTATGCTTTTTCTTGAGACATTTTACATACAGTAATAAAGCAAAATTACTCGAAAAACAGGAGCACTGATTACCACAATACATGACCATGAGCTAATCCACACTTACCAATCCATTAACCCAAAAGAAATCTAATTGGCCTGGTTTTTCTAGAAATTTGAGGGAACAGAGGGAAATGCGTCGTAAATAGTGAACTGGTATTCAGGTGAGAGGAGTGAAACCAACAAGATTGTGCCTGTCAATTACTGACGAGCGGTGCAACTATTTTTTCTTTTTTTTTTACATTACTCAAGCATTTCATAAAGAGATAATTTGAAACGGTAGATCAATGGCTATACAGTTGATTTACTTTTACGATTGAGCAATTAACTTTTAACGAATGTTTGAACAATGTTTTTATATTCCGTGTTAAGAAGAGATTGGATACAAACAACTAAACGCAGAGAATGTTTATACATTTTTATTCCAATTTTGGGGTCCTTTAATTAGTGTTTAAAATGTAAAGATTATTTTTTTAATATTATGTTTGATAGCCCTTTTTCCGACTTGAAATCTATATCCTGAATGCCATAATAAAGGAAATTTTTATAAAATTTCAAGTTTATTCATTTCAGTCTTCTTCCACTGTTTTCAGAGTCTATCAGTCGCTGTGCGTTTGTTCCAGAGTCGTTGTGCGAATTAGAATATTTTAGTTAGAAACCTTTCAAAGCCTTTCTATTGCATATGATAGGAGGTGGGATATTTATGTTACAGAAAGCCCATAATTCAATTGCAATGCATAGAACAAAAATCAATGATCATTTCTTACTTATTGATCTGTATGTATCGAATTCTGTGAATTCTGTGAATTTATTTTAACAAAGTTTGTAATTTATCTATTTATTTATCATTTTTGTGTATGTATGTATTGCAGGTTCTTCCTCACTATATGATTCTTTTTGTGCTGGAAGCTGCCGTAGCTGCTTACTTAAAGAAGCCAGTTTTCAGAGTGAATGATTCCATTGTTTCTGTCTCACAAGGATTATTGCAGCAGATATCTTTGTACGTAATTATGTTTAACAGTAATATGCATTAGTAATTTTAGTTGGCCCAAATTGTTTTAATTCAAGAATTCTAAAATAATCAGCATAAAGAAGAGTTTATTTGTCATATAGTAATAGTTATTTGTCATATAGTAATAGTTAAAAGCTGTTAAGTCTAGTTTGAAAGAAAGGCCATTCTGAATTCAGTATGTAAAAATTACATACATGACTTTAACTTTTCTGATGAAAGCGATATCAGTATGTATAAAATATATCAATGTTAAGGTAATAAATTATTTAATATTTCCAAATAAATATTGTATTTTCTCTTTGTTCCCCTCTTTTTAAGGAATTTTATCGTGCGAAAATCGGAAGGGTAAGACTATGTGAATAGTTCAGTTGCTGAAGAACGTTGTTATACTAAGATCCTAACAAATGGAAAGTGAGCGTGTGTAAACTAATGGTAACCATCATAATGCGATTTTTTAAAAAGAAACTTACATTCCTAATGCAGATTAATCATTAAACCTACAAATTAATATAAAAATTGCAATATCTGACGGTAACTGAGAATATCTGACAATAACTGAGCACGATGTATCTGGCTGAGTCAATATGTAAAGCCCCAGGGGTACCTTACATGCATGAGTCTTGACCACAGTTTCCAAGAAGGACATCGGAGGTAAGAAGGAGAAAGGGAGCAAAAAAATATCCTATTTCGAAAGATCGAACATATGAGCAGCAAATAAGGCTAAAATGAGTTGGAACAGAAATAACAGTAAGTAAAATAGGACGTGACATATACTGATCGCCAAAAATTAGGAAAATAATCACAAAATAGCGATAACTCGTTCAAAAAAAAAGCCACTTCGTATAAAACTTGAATATGCTGTCAAATAAGTGTTGCTGAGTAAAACTGAAGTATGCAAATTAGTGGCAATGCAATCGAATGCGTCATCTGCAAGAAGCATAAAGTTGCATGTTTGAGAGAAAGCCTGTAAATTTAGCTATGATACTGACATAGGAAATATGGGGTAATCATTCGTAACCATAAATTCCAGGCATCATTTGTTCGAAGAACTCCTACAGAGAACTATTGTGAAACTAGGGGTAGGGCAAAGTGAGACAAAAGTAGTGATAGTGATAGTGACGGAGGACGTGGCCACCCCCCCATTTACTATTAAGTTCATTAGCATATAGGGCCACTTCCGCCCTTATACAGAGTAAAGCCAGAGAGGCCTTGCACAGGGCGCCCAAACCCAACGCCTGGACCATCCGGTTGGCAGTTCCGCGAACCAAATGCCACCGGGTTGACACCCGTCCAAAGTGCCCCGGTCCAGTGATTTTTGAATCTTCAAGAATAGCATTGTACATGGCTAAACAAGGGCAGATATACATTAGTAGTTATTTACATGCTTCTGTTAATACATATTTGCTGACATGCAATCCAGCACTGTTACATACATATACTTTCTAAATACCTACATGACATTACCTTAATTTGCTTTGGAATAATAAGACAGAGCTAGTATATACACCTAGCACAATAAAATAATAATAATAATAATAATAATAATAATAATAATAATAATAATAACATACATTAGGACACGCTTGCCCACACTATATACACACATCGCAGACATACCTAGATTACTTATGCTTGAATGATACTGATTTACATTGAAATTTGCTGACATACTGACCAGTTATATTTACACATGGCATAAGTCTGGACCCATGTCCATTAGCTTATCAATTATATGAGTAATTTTGTTGGTCTGGTGTCGCTGCTTGACCATAAATCTGTTGAATGCCTCCCTGTTCGTCTGCGGGAACGGAATGTGCATTCCCTCCGTGAGAGGACATTCATGAACGTAGTGTTCTGCTGTGCCCAGATCGCCGCAGCAGCACTGATCCGAATTGGAGATTCCAAATCTCTCAAAATATACTGGAAAGGGCCCATGCCCTGTGATGTAATACACCATTTGTGGCCGTGCAACCAGTAGTTCCCTATCTACTTTAGGCAGAAATGTATGCGCTCGGCGGCCTGTGTCTTCGTTGTCCCACGCAGCCTGCCAGAGTGCTAGAGCTGTGGCGCGCAGATTCCGTTTTAAATGAGAAACCGGCCATGGGATTTGTACTGGGACTGCTTCGACGTTATGGGCTGCTTCTTTTGCAAGCCGATCTGCAGTCTCATTACCATGATTCCCGATATGGGCTTTCGTCCATTCTAGATTAATTTTTAATTCTTTATTCCTGAATAGCTGCTATTATTGGAGAAATGTGGGTGGGGTTAAGGATGGCGCATAACGTAGACAGGCTGTCTGTTATTATGTAACTATTGTATAGCCTCTGCTGAATTATCGCTTGCAGTGCATAGCTTATAGCTGTGGCCTCGCTTTGGAAAGACACTATTGTGCGCTTCCAATGCCCCTTCCATTGGCTTACTATTCTACCCTCTTTAAGTGCTGCATATGCACAGCCCACACTGTCGTCTATTTTAGATCCATCCGTATAATAGGTAACATCTATGTTCGTGGATCTTGTGGTCTGCTTTAGGTTGACATTAACACCCCGTCCTTGCAAAGACGGGTGCCTGTCAAGGCTGATGACTGCTCTTTCGAGGTTATCTGCAGTAAACACCTCTTCCCCAAATTGCGTTGTTTGGCCGAGTTGCTTGACTATCTGGTACGTAGCTTCCTTCTCGACACTAATGGACAAGGGTAGTATGCCAGCCAGGACTGCCAGTGCATTGGTCGGGGAAGTTCTAAATGCTCTCGTGATATTTAATAAAAACGGCCGTTGGATGCTTTGCAAATGCTTTACTTTTCTGCCCTGCATCGGTAAGGCCCAGACAGCTGCTCCATATGTCACGATCTTCTCAGTGACGGTGTTATAGAGGATCTTGAGGATATGGGGGTTGAGACCCCAGCGATATCCTTTCATCATCTTGAGCTGCTGAGCGATGCTTGCTGTGCGCTGTTTTAGAGAGAGCACATGCGCTATCCAATTCAGTTTGTCATCAAATATTATTCCCAAGTATTTGAGTTCTCGCTTGATTGCAAGTCGTTTTCCATTGAGCGTGATGCGTGGTTGTCGCGTTAGGGAGCCTCCCTTTTTTGGAATCAATAAAACTTGCGATTTTTCTTCGGCAATCTTCAACTTCAGCGTTGCACATCGCTCCTGAAAGAGGTCGCAGGATTCTTGGCAGTTTCTCTGCAATTGCTCTCTAGTGGGGCCTTGTACTATTAGTGCCGTGTCATCGGCATATGCAACTATTTTCGTGTGACTTGGCCACGGCTGTGTAAGTATACTATTGTACGTTAAGTTCCATAGGAAGGGTCCCGCGCAGGAACCCTGCGGACATCCCCTTGTTTGATTATTTTGTAGTATGCCACTATTATGCTGCAGAATTAGTTTTCGTTCTGCGAGATAGTTCTCCAGTGTCCGATAGATATTCCGTGGACAGCGTGAGTTCCTTAGTGCCCGTAGGATTGCCGGCCACCACAACGTGTCAAAGGCACTTTTGAGATCGACTGAGATGAACGCGGTGTGATGACCGGACAATCTGTTTTTTGTAGGAGACATTCTTTAACCTTCATGAGAGCATGGACGGTGGATCTGCCTGTGCGGAACCCATATTGATCCTCGCTCAGGTAATTACTAGAGTGCAAGTGATGTCGGAGCCTGTTCACTAGCAACTTTTCAAATGTCTTACCAAGCGCTGATAGTAAGCATATTGGTCTGTAGGCATCCGCTCTTCTCGGATCCTTGTTCTTTTTAAGGAATAGAATTACTTGGCCGATCTTGAAGCACCTGGGGAACGTGCCGGTACTTAGTAGCTTGTTGAATAGCTGTCGAAATAGATTGATATTCGAACGCACAATGAGTTTAATTATACGATAGTCTACTCCGTCCGGCCCAGGTGCTTTCTTTTGCGGTAGGCACTTTAAGACGTGCAATATTTCTTGTTTTGTGAAACAAGCATCTTCTGCAGTATCAATGTCCGAGGTATCATATCGGATTATTCTATGTGCTTGCGTGCGTGTCTTCGGAGGGGTCGTCTGTGGCGAAGACCGCCTTCACGATTTCTGCAAGCATGGTCTCTGTGAGTTTATTGGAGATCTCTGGGACAGGTAGCAGATGGAAGGAGGCGGGTTTGAAAAGCTTACACGTGGCAATCTTGTGGTGTATGCCATATATTTCGGTATTTTCCGTGCAAAATTTTCTCCAGCTTTCCAGTTTGGCCTGTAGGATCATTTTCTTATATTTTGCTCTTTCCTGTTGAAAGGTGATGAGCGTGTTAGAAGAAATATTGTGACGCCGCTCCTGCTTAAGACGGCGTCTAAGGGCGCGAAACTTTCTGCTGTTGTTCTCTGAGATGACTGCTCCACCAGTTTAGATTAGAGATCTTTTTGGTTGTTCTGGTTGGCAACAATTCATTACAAACTGTTCTTATGGTGGACATTATGTCACTCGTGATAACTTGTAAGGCTTCGGTGGTAGTTGCTTGTTCGATCAACTCTGCGAAGTGGGCAAGTTGGGATTTAATGGCTGCAGCAAATGTCCTTACTTTATTACCTGGCAAGTTATACCTCTTGATTATCGAGGTGGCTGTCTCACTGGCGATAGAAAATCTAATATAATTGTGGTCTGAAAGGCTTAAGCCTTCCACGACCGTCCAATCCTGAATCTTTTGCGCAATTTGCAATGTTGCTACTGTAAGGTCGGGCCATCCCTGTGAGTGGACGCGATCGAAGGTGGGTGCAGCATCATGATGATTAAGTACGCTCATATTTTGACTAGAAAAGAAATCTTCTAGCATCCGGCCTTTAGGATCAGTGCTGGCATATCCCCATGTGGAACTGTGGGCGTTGAAATCCCCAGCACATAAGATGTTATGGGACCTGTACCGCTGAAGTAGTTGCTGCATTCGCTGGATAGTTGTATCTATATTAGCTGTCGGAGGGGAGTATAGTGAGACCAAGAGAACCGTTATGTTGTGCATCTCAAGAAGAATAGCCACGAAGTCTCTTTCTGTGGTGATGATAACCGGTGTCCACGCTGGGTTGCAATTGATCAGTATTGCACGGGGTGAATCGTTAACATCTTCTTTTTGGTACACTGTCCATTGTAGAGGATAGCCTACCGCTTTTCCCTTCAAGCAGTATGGTTCTTGGGCAAATATTAGATCAACCCCTTCGGTTGCGGCATATGCGGCAGCTTGTGCCGTGGCTGCTTTGGCATGTTGCAGATTAATCTGAAGGCACCTTATTGGTGTTTGAACTGGGATCGTGTCCATATTAATGTCCGTTGTCAGTGCAGCGTCCAGTTGCTGAGGTGGCTGGGTTAGACTATTACTGGTATGAGGTGCAGAAGTAACTGAAGGCTGTGACGTACTTGCTTCTGTATGGGTGTTCACAGACACTTTCTCTTCAGTATTCCGTTGCGCTACAGACGTTGTCAACTGTCCGTTGATAAATTGCGCATTCTGCTGCATAGGCAGGGTGGTGGAAATTGTATCTGGTACCCAACCTGTAATTTGCGTCTCCGCAATTAATGCATGATGGTTGGTCTCCAGTGCAGTCTCTGGTTGCGTGAGCGCCGGAGCAGAAACCGCAGAAGATCTTGGAGGACCAAGTGAGACAAAAGTAGCCAGATGGCTAAATGTGAGTCCTTTTGTGGTTCATAGACTTTGGCAATAATTTTTAACCAGAGATTCGGCATCCAGAAGGTTCAGCCAAAGACAGGCAACCGCTAGGACGAGCCCCGTTGGCTGATATTTGTTGTTATGGGCACGAAGGAATAGAAGTGTATCTCCAACTTAATTCAGATCCTCCCTTGTTGTAGCCGCTAGAAGTTAGGTGTCAACGTCGACTGTACGTAAAACGCTTCATGAAAGCTTTATTTATGCTGAATTCTTTGTGATTGCTAAGATATTGTTCTAAAGTAATAAAACTTCATAAGAATACTAATGACATATTTTTAGACTTTGAAAATTTATTAATTGCTTGCGCAAAAATTCTTTTGGTGTACCAAATGTAACAAAAATTTTAATTAAGATGGAAAATCATAAAAGGGTATCACTGAAAATAATCCACCTCGATTATTCTAATTTATTTATTAACCGAACCCTTAATTCAAATTTAAAAATAACGTCAGATACCGCAAATTTTGAAATTAAGAGTCTCAATCAATTTTTGTCGAACGGGAGTCAAAATACACTCACTTCCAAAACTTAAGCACGGAGAGGAAAATGCTAATTTCCGGAAGCCAATCAGAATTGAAGAGGATGCAATGCGCTGCAGAAGTAAATGGAAGTATGCAAATATGTTAGGTAACAGCCAATCGCGCTTTCATGTCAAGAAATATGCAAAAAGGCAGTCTTATAAGAAGCCAGCTTTATGAGGGTTTATTATTACTGTTACAGAAGTTGATTGTAAGTGCTGATAGAAGGTGTTTAAAACTTTCGAACAATTTTTTTCGAGACATACGTGTTTCTATGATTTCCAGAAGACGAATGGAAGATTCTGAGCGCTGGCGTGCTGTGGGGCGCATTGAAGCAGCACAGTCGATCACAGATGTTGCTCTTTTCTTCGGCGTTCATCATTCTGTATTTCACGTTATGGAAAATTCCAAACCACACAGACAGTTGTCGAAGACCCGTAGCCGGTCGCCCAAGGTTCAACTCCCCACAGATCAATATATTGGCTATGTAGCCAAGCAGATCGCAGAGCGACCTCCCACTTTTGACATCTAGGTTACAAGCGTCCATTTGTAAGGCGATATCTGCAGCTACTGTACGCCGAAATTACATATGAGTGGACTGTACGTCGGGTACTTCGAGTTTGTGTTCTATTCGTCCAATAAAGAGGGGCACGATTACAGTGTGCTGGAAAATGTCAATTGGGATGTGTTGATTGGGCATATGTTTACTGTGAGTCAAGATTTGCTCTGGAGCCAGATTGACAGCGTATAAGGATATGCGTGCACAACGACACCAATCAATCCCAAAACATAACGCATTCCGAGGCGGAAGCATTTGGTGTGGGCAGGGATTTCATTAGGATACCACCCGCACATCTCTAAACGGGGTTCTTGACGACTGTCCGTATCGAGATAGTCCTAGAAACCCATTGTGAGATTGACGCTATTGGCCCTACTTTTGTTTTAATGGACGAGAACGCTTCCCATAGGATGACATCGTCGATGACTTACCTGAGAATGAAGGGATTGCGCGTATGGCGTGGCCAGCATATTTCGCCCAACCTTAATCCCTTGAAAATCTTTGGGATGCTTCGGCCGTGCTGTATCTTCACGTTCCCCTTCCAGCCCACTCTTATTGAGCTGAACTGTCCACAGAAGAATGGCAATTGCTTATCTGCGGGGTGAACCCTAATTGAAAGCATTGTCACAAGGTGTACCTTGTATACAGATGAGGGGAACACATACCCTAGTATGTCCTTTTCTCATTTGTGCTGTTTATTTTCACTTTACATAATTTTGTTTAAGTCTCAGATGTCTTTATCTTTAACTTCAAAAATGCAATATTGGTCATTGGTGTATATAGTTATTGATTTTGTTTTATGCATAAATATATATGTTACTTTCCTGCCGAATTTTGTGTCAATCAAAGCAGTATTTGTTGATTTTTTTGCATTTTGCATCTTCGTGCTTAACTTTTGGAAGTGAAGGTATATTGTGTTTAATTTGTATAATGAGCACAGAAGTTTCCTAAATATAGGCTAAAGCTGGTGAACATTACACTTTTTTAGCTTATTTAAGCTGTAAATCTTGGTTTATTATTTTATTTGTTGTTACAGACTCTGCAATTGATTTCTGTGTCGGTTAGTTATCTCTTGCTACAAACGATTTAACTTAAGAAACATCAGAATTAGTACATACCTTTTTCGGGTATTCGTTTGGAAGCTTCTTTCCATACAGAAGTAATGATTGACGGTTTTTCATTTTCCAAATAATAATGTTCGCTAATTTTCCCTGAGAAATTTTAATTTCACAATTTCACAATTTTGCATGTGAGTTTTGCAACTGAATTTTGGAATGAGAAATCCCCAAAACAATTCAACAAACAGTCTTTTTGAAAGAACGAAACACATCTTTTAATCACCAGTATGTTTATATTTGCTATTTTGAAAGCAGAAGGAATTTAAGAGCAGCAGACGATATTCCTCATTTGAAATAATAAGGTATTTCTCCCACTTTCCTAGCATGCCTTTTCTCCCACTTTCCTAGCGTGCCTTCGTGGTACTGCACGCTGGGCCGGTATTCCAGAGGTCCGCGGTTCGTTTCCCGGCGAAGGCGTTTGCTATTTTTCATCTTGCCTCGTTCCAAAAAAATACCTAATGTCTCTACAATGGCGCCCGAACAAAAAGGATGATGGGTGAGGATTCTTCACACTCAGGATTTGACCACTGGGTCCCCTAAAAATCCCAGTCGCCCTTTAAAAAGGGGGTGTATATAAGGTATTTTTCCCACTTTCCTGGCGTGCCTTCGAGGTGTAGTGGTATTGCACGCTCACGCTAGGCCGGTATTCCAGAGGTCCGTGGTTCGATTCCCGGCGAAGGCGATTGTTCATTTTTCATCTTGCCTGCTTCCAAAAAAATACCTAATGTCTCTACAAGCTGTTGCCGGAAATGTTTATTCCAAATAATTTCCTTTTTTAAATTCTTTATTGAAATCGTTCTAAATATTTGTAAACACCCTCTGTACTTACTTCTCTGCTACAGAGGAAGGAGAATTTGGTGGACATATGTATAACTAAAAATTTGTGTAATACAATTCTTTATTACCCAAAAATTTATGCAATTCTCCATCAGTTGTGTTATTACACAATAAGAAATCTTCGAAATAGAGGAAGCTCCAACGAAAGGGCCGGATCCAATATACCTAATATACTAATGCTTTGTTTTCAGAAACATGTAACATATTTACGTACCTACATGTCGTAAATATTCCTGTTTAGGAATAAAAAAAACAATATCTGATTTAGGTTTTCTCTACGATGTGCTGCATCACTTTACTTCTCGGTGAAATTGGTACTTACTTTTCTATATATCTGCCTTTCTGCGCTGCTGGTGTTGTGACATGCGCAATTTCCTCTAAGTTCTTTTTGTTTCTATATAAGTTCAGATTTTTAGGACTTACAATAACACCGTCACACGCAACAATAATGTTTTCAACAGACCAGTCGGATCAAGAGCTCGGTGATTTAATGTCCTCTGATTACTTTATCTTCTGCGAATTGTTATCTTATTAGGTGCACGTATACCTGAAAAAGCTGCACGAAGCTTCCTAGCAGTTTGCTCATAACACTTGGTATTCTTGTTCTGAGTGTTCACAATCAAAACAAAATGACCCTTTATAGAGAACTCCGACTAAACCGCAGCGAAGATTCGATACCATTGTCGCCAGGTCAAATCAAATTCGACATTTTTAAATTGGGGTATTTATAAAAAATTGGAGTGTTCTTAAATTAGAGTATATATTAAATTGGAGATGATTGGAGTACCTGTATTAAGTATGTAAAACTATTTTCCGTTTTCTGAGCTTGACTTCAGATCAGCCTACATTTCAGCTAAATTAGTCGATTAAAATGTAACGTAAAGAACAGCATTTCGAAAAATATCCCGAGACATATATTTATTCAATTACATTTTATCTTCTAGCATAGCATTTCGTGGAATACAGCATGCAGCATATTTCTTCATTTACGCGCACTGGAGGCTTGTCACACTGCCTTGGAATTCAATATGGACGTGGTGGCTTTGCTTCCTTGCAGAAGATTTTACATTTTACTGGCTACACAGAGCTTGTCATGGTAAGCAATATTGCACATCGAACAGAACACAGTTTTTAACAGCCTGATAATGACTAGCAATGTTATAAACTTAAATATTTTTTTAAACAATTGTAAGAATTAGAAGCCAGAAATTAATACGAAAGAACATTTGAAATGGGACAGTATTTCTCACATTTATTTATTCAGAAACATTTAATATCGACTGAAATAAAGCGAAAATAAATTAAGGAAATAATGCGCGTGTGATTCTAGAATCATCCGCATAAAGATACGTACTTGGTTTCCCTCGTCTAAAATTCGTTATTTTTATGTTATCAAATATTTTTCACTTTTAATTTATGCAATAATCAAATATTTTTCAATTTTAATTTATGCAAAAATGAAAATATTTGAACAACTGTCGAATTCCAAAATGAAACGAATGCTGGACTAGTGTAACATTCGTTTCATTTTGGAAATCAAGAGCTGTTAAAAAATATGCACTTCCAAATTTAATGCCATTGTTTCGCTTTATTGTCACTTGTATTCTTTGTAAATGAGAAGAAAATGAATTGGTGGGTGGTGAAAAAAAAATCGCCATAAAGAAGTGTTTTGGAACTATGATGGCTTTTGGAGCCATGGTATCTGGTTTCTGTATGCAAAAATTCGTTATCAAAATTAAATAACCTGGTAAAAGTCATAACTGAAATTTCCAAAATCTTAAGCAAATTTATGAGCCAAAAAGTAATAAAAAATGTGTTGGGAACTACGTCGTTTTGAGTGCTTAATGCTGAAACATTTAAAACTTACTACTTGCCGACAAGGAAATATATTGAAATTAATATCAGAATGGGTAGAGATGTGCACCCTTTACTCAGCTTTGTGATTTGAAAACTGTAATGCAAAATGAAATTAACTGTTTCTTTAATCCGACGCCCTTAGCTGATGAAGAGGTATTCATACTTCAAGCATATAAGCCACAATGAGGTCCAATCAAGGTCAGGGGAAAAGATTTAGCGTAAGTGAGACGAACGGATTAGCTACGGATGGATGCATGACAAGGGATATCTTTTTATCTGCAAAATGGTCGTATAGGCATGAATTAACAGCTGTAATGTAGCTCGGATGTATAATACAAGGAATGCGTTTAGGATCACACGTGCTATCGAAATCATTATAGCAAGATTAAAATTTTAATCTCATCATTCTGAAATTCTCAATTCTTCAATTCTTCTCCCGCTTCAAAAGAAAAAAAAAACTTATGACTTTACACATGTAAATTATTTAATTCTACGCACGACTTTAGTGCCATATAATTATGAAATGGTATAGTATAGAGTGACTGCGTTTGATAATATTGTAGAGCCATCAGGTTTTTTTGAACAGGAGAAATGAAATATGAGCATTGCCCTCGCGGAGACTCAAACCTGAACCTCTTGCATACGCGCCGAGTGTGCTACCGTTACATCACGAAGGCATGCAAAAAGAAAGGAGTCGTTTTAGTTGATTTTAAAAGTATTTTTTCACTCTTCTGTTTTTTTAGTTTCCCATTCTCTGTGACATTCATAAACTTCTTGACGAAACCTTTTTCTGTTTTGTCAAAAATCATTTAAAACATTAAATAAAAAAATTGCTTCATATATTACATTGTCGTCGGCCAAAATTGTGTATAAAAAATTTGAATTCGATAGTCTGTCAGGAAGCAGGTTAAAAATCAATGGAAAAATTCTAACTGTAGTGGAACACCACGAGTGAATAAATAAAAGCTTATAAAAACATATTTTTACTTTGAGAACTCAAAATCGACTTTTTTTCAACATAAAATTAATTATAATTTCGAATATTTTTGCGCAAAAAGTTTAATGATTTGTCGTTTTATAATCATATGGGGCTAAATCGATTGGTTTACATGTCATGGAATTCCAACCAAAGCTTTCAGAAAAATCATGCGCACAATTAGGAAAATTATAGTTTTGAGAAATCTTAAGTTATTATTACCTCCAAATCTTACGAATACGCACTCCTTTTTAAACTAAAAGGAAGATAATAATACATTTATCAGTTAAAATTTGTATATTATAAATATACAAGTATTTAAGTATATTGTATGTTTATTGTATGTTATGTCTTGTATATTTAAGTACGATTGTATGTATATACACTACCCGACATTGAAAATGTAACACCAAGAAGCAGTGGCCAGAAAGTGATGATACTCGGCAAACAGAGAGAGACAGCAACAAACAATAATTGACCTTTATTTCGAAATGATATGCATAATACAGAGCGAGAACAATGTCGGCTTATTAGCTTAAAGGACACCTTGGGACGGCGATACACGAAGAAACACGTTAAGGTGCAGAGTCAATGAGACTACGGATGGTGTCCTGAGGAATGGCTCTGCATTTCCTGTCAACCATTTGCCACAGTTCGCCTTCTGAATGCGGCAGTCGCACGGTCTGCATCTGTATACATCGCAGAGCACGTTGACTGATGAGAGCTATGTGTGGTCGCGCATTACCCTGTTAATAAAGGGCATTATGCACGCCCTGAAGGAAGCGGAGTATCACCGGCCACAGCCCATCATCCACGTATCTTTGGGTCTTCATAGGGCCCTGAATACGAAATAGAAGTGCCCTGGAATCGTATGCAATTGTGCCCCAAACTATGATGCCGCGTGGTAACGCGGTGGAGCGTTCCACAATTGCTGCGGGATCGTACCTGTCTCCACATCGAAGCAACACTCGTACGGCGATTATCATTGGAGAAACAGAAGCGTGACTCATCTGAGAACACGACCCTCGATTCATGCCATTCCTTCGTCCACATCGTTCGAACCCGGCATCATTGCAGACGTTGGCGTCTACGATAGGGGGTCAAGGCAGTCTTCTTAACGGACGCCACGAGTGCAGGCCACTAGCCACCAATCGACGACAAATGGTTTTGGTCGATATGGGAACTGTACCTGCTGCAGAGGTAGAAGTGGCTTGCTGGCGCGCCATTGCTTGTCGGCGGATGCGTCGATCCTTGGGAGCTGGCGTCACTCTGGCTGTACCGACACCTCTCGAACTTGTCACATTTCCTTGTTCCTTCGCTACAGCCGGTCTACTGTAAACTCGTATAGGTGTGTATCAGTTGAGATTTTCCGTATGGACCAACCTGCCCTTCTCAGTGCGATCCCTATGCCTCTCTTAAAATCATCTGTCTGCTGGAACTGCCTCCTTTGACGATGGCAAGGCATCTCTGAGACAAAAACAAATTTCTGCGATAATTTACTTAGCAGAAATAATGATACGAATGCAGCTTCCTTCCCATATATCTTCTTCAATGTGCGTTGGAGAGCTGCGCATTTCACAACTCGGTACCGTGAAATTTGCATAATTTTCGAGCCCTTCCTTCTTGTGTTGCCTTTTCAATGTCGGGTAGTGTATAACCATCATAATTTTATTTGAGACGATGAAAAGAGAAGAATCGAGATTTCTATGCAGTCCCGAATTTAATTATAGTTAGTTCTAAACGTTTTTATAATAGAAATATAATAATTGTTTATTTTATACAAATATATCGCTTACATAGTTCGTCAAAATAATTGAAAATTCTAATTATTCAGTTCACAGCAATCATGTACGCAAGCAGGAAAATCATATTCGTGTGAACTCTTAACTGAAAAAGAAGTTACCTTGGAATCTTCTAAGTACATTCCTTTATTTAAATTAATAAATGTATAAATAAAATCTTAATCACCTAATTTGTCCTTTATGTGTAACTAGGGATTTCTGTAAAACTGTATATATAAGCATTTTATCTGGAGTTCAGAGAATATTTAATACCAGTAATTTGCAGAAATGAAAATATGAAACCATCTGGCCGTGTTGAAATCAAACACTTTGAGTTCTACTTTTTAGAATGAGTATAATATTTTACTAAATTTAACGATATAGGCAGGAATAGAGAATAAACAGTTAGATTTTTTTAAATGCAAAACCATAGATAGTATTGGCCCTATTTCAAATAGTAATTGCACATCTGCGACAGATGATTTTAAAGCTCCCTCAAGACCTTCTATGTAGACGATGTATATCACTCTAATAATTGCTAATATTTCACTGAAACTAATTTAATATTGGAGAATTATCACCTAATTTCAAATCTATTTAATTTTCGCCACACCACACCATTTGTTTTTCATCCTTTATTTTATTTAAAGAGAGAAAAGATGAAGATTATATATTGAAACTTCTGAAGATGCTAAGAGTTTAATTAAATAATTGTACTGAATATCGTCAAAATCTCTAAAGCGATCTCTTCACCAGAAGACAAAATCATCTGAAAACGTAGCAGGCCGTCTTAAAGAGGGAAAAAAAAGAGAAAGGAGGAGGTTGTTCTTCAAATGGCTTGTCCAATGCTTATCAGCGAGTAGAAATATGAATATGAAACTTACCAGTTGCGATCGAATGATACCAAATGAGTATTGGTAGTTCGTTCAGGGTTAAGTACACTAGCGACCTACATTTGTTGCACATTGGTAGTTAACCATATTTCGATTCCAGGCGAACGGGTTGGCTTCAAGGAGTTTTCGTGGTTTTCTTTGTATATAGCGTGGATATCAGCCAGTTTCCCTTAGAAAAACCCTTATAAAGGCATTCCTCTTGTTATCTTGTGATAACTCATATAGAACTTTCATGCTTTTCAATATCAAATAAACAAATCGCAGCAACGATCAGGGTTAAAAGTCCAGTGAACGTGTTAGTAGCATGGCATTTTCTTAATTTTCCATATTCATACCATGAATACTAAGATTTTTCCTTTAAAATGTCGTCCTCTTCGGCAAAGTACAACTCTGCCATAATCGAAATATAATAGCCGATTCACCAGTAGTACAAATTTTGTTCCACCGGTGGTCAAATAGTTAAGACGGGTGGATTTTATTAATTTGGCCTAGAATCGAATCCTAAGGAGTGTGCTTGTTTCATGAGCGTTTTTATTTTTTTCTTTATGCAGTGTGAATGTGAGCCACTTCTCTCCTCGAATACGTGCCTCTTCTTACGCAGGTAACCTTCGTGAGCTTTTCCACGAAATCCTCTATAACAAAGACATAGGGAATAAGACACTGTGTAATGATTATTTTTTTACAAAAACATTCCGTTTGTTCTGTTGAAATAAAATGCAGGCTTGTGTTTTGCCGTTACGTAACTGCAATCTGTGTGAGTATTAGACTCAAAGGTATGAAATCATAGTTGGCTATGCGAGCAATGGCTAGAATGTTATTGCGGCAGCCCAATATCCATTCTATCTGCTATTAGAGTAACAATGAATGAATAATAATGTCTGGCGGTAAGAGAAAACATTTAAAGAATAGTAGATTGGAGACAGTCACGTTATGAAAGATAAATGTTTGCGCGTTAATGGGAAACAATAAAAAATAACGAATCGTGCAAATAAGAATATTACCGTACTATTTTATGCAAAGGAAGTATGCACAGATTTAAACATACAATGTTGGTTCCTTTATATGACAAATAATGTTCATAAGACGTAAGAAGCTGAGTATCTGGTGTTGAATATCAGGGTACAGCAAATGCAAACGCTCCGCATTTCAATTAATCTTTAATATATAATTCAGAATAAACATAAATTAGCACTACGATCTATAAATTAATTTGTTCTTTTTATTAGTCATAAACACTATTTATAAGAACAGTAACTTGATTTGTAGATATTTCTATGACATTTATCGTGAAAGGATTTTCTCCAAGAGCGGGATTCTACGAGTATAAAATTTAACAGTAAATAAGAATCTTTCTTATCGGTAACAGTTGAATTTGGGAAAGTTTTCATAACTTGTTTAGTTAAAAGTAAGTTACTTAGTGGTTAATTAAATATATTAAAATCATTTGAAATAAATAATAGTCTGAAGATTCAATATTTAGCTGCTAGTAAGTTTGAATTACAAAATGTAACCAATAGAAATTTTTTACAAATATTATTTTACAGATAAAAATTGAATGCTACAAATCTCAATTTATTCTTCTTTGTGTTATTATTATTATTATGTATGTTTTGATTAATATTTAGTAAATGAAATTAGAAAATGAGTTAAAGTTTAGCTAAAATTTCATTTAAAATTTAGTTACATTTTAATAAAAATAATTTCGCCCTCAACTGCTTTCAGATTCTGTATCCAGTTATTTGAGCATGAGACCGCTAACTTAGAACCTTTTTCCATCATTGGTGCAGACTGCTAAGCTAATGTGTTTTCTTACTGAAAATATTTCTTTGACATAAAAAGAGAGTAATGGATCATCCAAATATGATTTGCTATTGTGATTAATTCAGCGTCCTAAATTGATGATACAAAGAATGCTGATCTCCATTTTCTCAGAATTAAATTAAATCTAAAACTTTTATCATCCTATTTACAAATGTTGAGATGTTGTGCCAATTATAAATTATTTAATAAAATTTGCTTTAATTATGTATCGTCATTAAAATAACTTTTATGAAACTACTTGCTTCAGCTGAACATAAACAGGGAGGCGGATCATTTAAAAAAATCATGTAAAGACCGAAATTGACAAGAATTAAAAATTTCTTGTAAGATTCACCATTTGGCATTAATTTGAAACATTTAGTTTGATTTTGAGATTTTCTAAATCGCATGGTAAATTTTGTTGTATTTTTTATTTTATTGCAGCAGTTAAAAATACAAAGAAAAGTCTTTACCCGAAAGGTCAGGAATTAAATTATCACCATTTCTATAAGGTATCCAATAACTTCGATTATACTGCACTGATTTTCTTGTTAAATGACATCACAGTCAATGCATGTTTCCTGTTGCCGAGCGTGCTCTTCTTTTTATATCGGATTAGTTATAGTTGAAAGAGGTTTTACTGATACTTTACTCAAATGCTATTAGACCAGTTTTCCTCGAAGAAGAACTTCAAATTTAACTGTTATAACTGTTGCATATAAACAAAATGCAAAGCACATCTGAGGCAGTTCTAGGATTATATGTGTAATCACATACAGAATATTCTCGTACATAAATTATACTTTTCAGATTATAAAACATGCAGTACGATGATTATGCCAATAGTTTTATTTCTTTCTCAAACGAAACATTATTTGTGTAATTTTTACAAAACAAAACTTTCTTCAAATCCTTGCCTCGTTCTATTCTGCATTATTAAAGATGCAAAATGCAAATCCATAATTTTCACAATTTTAGGAACTCTAGGAAAGTATTGCTTTCTTTATTTTTTCCTATTTAATATTAAATTTCAAATTAGTATAAAAATTTTATAGATGGAAGAGACGGCGAAAATGAGCAATCCCTCGTCGGGACTTGAATCCTGGACCTCTCGAATAAGCGCCGTGTTCTACAGTTAAACTATGAAGGCATTCTGGAAGGAGACAACGCTGATGAAACGGCACAGCTTCCGCCCTAATGCGGCCTAATAGGCGCTTATCGGAATTAAGTGCCCCCCCCGACCTTGATCAATCCACAATGTTGCGACCCCACAGAGCAAGGGCAGACAAGGCAGTACCAGGTAAGGTAGCAAGCAAGGGCAGGGCAGAGCAAGGGCAGACAAGGCAGTACAAGGCAGAGAATTAGGGGACCCAATCGCCAAATCCTGGTACTGCCAAATTATCGTCCATCACCTTTTAGTTCATGCACCTTTGGAGAGTCATTAGGATTATTGATGCAGGAGACGATAAAAATGAGCATTTCCCTCACTGGGACTCGAATCTTGAACCTCTCGAATACACGCCGAGTGTGCTACCCTTATACCCCGAACGCATGCAGGAAGAAGAAAAAAAAATCTTTATAATTTAAAATTTGGCTCCAAGGTTTAATACACGATTCAGTTTGTACCGTTGTCGAATTTTTTGTTTAATAATTGCGATGTGTTAGTAAAAACTGCGGACAGAAAAGAGCCATATTCCTTGGTTGGCTATTCTGACGAATTTGTTGCCATAAGAGTTAAGACAACAGATCAGTTGTTTGCCTGCAACTAACCAGTTGATCGTATATTTTAAAATGCAATGAATCTGTGAATATAAGCATGTTCAAATTTTTAAAAGAAATCAACAATAGTATTCTGGAATTTTTTTTATTCATAGTAAGATTTTGATCCTTTTTTCCCTGAGTAACAACAAAATTTTGGTATCTGTCTCACTCTGAAGATAACATGATCTATTTTGTTCGTCATATATCCACGTCTTATGCGAAATACCAAATCAAAAGAAGCGTCTGATGTATCAGTCGTAGAAGAGAGACATTAATTTTATTTAAAACACTTTTCATTTTTCGAATACACTTTCGTTTAAACCTCTCTTATGTGCAATCAGTTTTATTCCGTATAAACCTAGTATTTTGTTGCTATTTAATATGATAAAATATATTTTTTCGTTCCTTAGCAGAGACAAGCACAAAATGCGACAAGATTCTGAATTCTAAAGTTTTGCCTATTCATAATTTACAAAAATTTGCTAAAGGTTAGGGGCGAGACGTTGATAGTTCCGAAAAAGCTTTATTACCGTAGATACGAATACTTACAGTCCTTCAATATAATCGCTTGCGGTGTCTACGATCTTCTGCACAAGTTTATGAAAGGCGTTGTATACCATCAGTACGTTCACTGTTAATATCTCTGATAAAGCGCCCTTACCTAGAACAGAAAATTTCCTCTTTGATATTGTTACGGATCACTTGCGTGTGTGATTATGGCAAAACCTAGAGGGCTATCTGCCTAAGGGGAGAGATGCCTTCGTGGAGGTCTTTCTAAGGGAAACTGGCTCGTATACACGTTACACATGGGGAAAACCACGAAAACGCCCATGCAGCCAGCCCGTTCGCGGGATTCGAACCTCGGACCGAACTACCAGTGTTCAGCGACTTTACCGCTCGGCCGCTGGTGGGCTACGGATCACTTGCACTGTTTTTCATAGTAATAGACTATACTAATATCTAATCTGTATTCAGTTAAATTTAGATTTTATTATTATTAACTAACCTGATATATAGAAAAAGATGTAAGCAAATTTTAACGCTTTGGAAATAAGAATCTTTATCATATATTTCACAGCTCATATTTAAAATTCACCTCAGAATTAATTGTTATAAATATATTATTTTAAGTGTATGTCGTTTTTAAATTCTCAATTTTATAAAAACAATTTCTTAAAAATTACATATGTTTGTTTATTTGCCAGAAATAAATATTTTATGGGCAGCTCATCAAGTTCATCATAGTTCTGAAGATTTTAATTTATCAACAGCACTGAGACAGTCTGTGTTGCAATATTATTCGATCTGGGTAAGATATTTCCGTTGTTATGCAAATGTATTATCATTTTATTTTTATGTCCAAAATATGTACTTGAATATCAAAGTTTTGCATTCTGTTGGTAAATAAAAACTATGGCAATGCAATATATATAATTAATGTGCCGTTTTAGATTATATATACGATTAGGAGTTGTGTATCATACCAAATGACCGATACATCAAAATTATGCAAAATGTTCTTCACATGGCTATTTTCTGGAGATGTGTTGAAAACATCGCGACTTCCTTCAGCAAACTCTTCAGTCAGAATCAAGGAGAAAAATAAATATGTTTCCATTTGCTAAAAATTACTTATAAAGAAGGCTCAAGCACAAAACAAAAATTGTAGGGTCTATATTGTAACTCAAAGCTAAAGTCCTGAAGATCTTACTTGACTAATCTTACTTACTTGATCTTACTGACTTTTCAGATTTTATAGTACGTCTAAGAAGGCGCTTCATTTGTATACGCATACACGTTTCGAAGGCATTTCAGCTAACGCCAATTCGGGTTAAAAATATGTAAAAACAATGATATCTTTAGAATTTCCGATAGACAGTCTCGCACGCTGGAGGTAAGGAATGGTTTATTCCGTACAGTATTGCCACTGCTCGGTTTTAAATCGGTGAATCTTTTTTAAACAATATTTCCTTAAAAGTTTACAAAGTATGAAATAGATAATAAAACAGGTTCGAAATTCCAAATTTGGGCTTCTACATATTTGGGCGGAGGACTACATTATTTAAAATTTGATGGCTTTAGGTACCGCTGTTTTTTTTACAATGCGAGAATTTTACATACAGTCAAGCAAGATTCTTCATTATTTAATTTCTTTAAATATAATACTGGGTGATAATATTTGGTGTCAACAATTTGAAAAATGATTCAACTCTTTTAATGATGCATCGCAGAATGTCTTTTCGAGACTAATATCCGCTCTGGGCTAACTCCCCTTTGGACTAATAAATTTTCTATCAGTCTAAAGTTGAACAGAATTGACGAACTTGTGTTACACACGAAATTTCACAATTTGTGGTTATTAAATTAACGTAACAGAGAATGAAATTCAAACGTTGATAATGCAGTTTCAGACTACACAAAGACAAAATTAAGCTGGTTTAGAATAATACTGGCGCATATTTTAAAACATCAACTAATGGAAACACTAACCCCAGATATAACTTTTATTCAGAGTTAGTGGGAATAATTAACAGCAAGACGCTGTTGCGAGAAGCTCTAAACTAGCATTCAAAAAGATTAGCTTAAATACACGCAAAACAAATTTTCATTCTGGGAGGAATACGGAAATAAGAAATTATAATAAAGACTTAAACTGGTTAATTAACATAAGGTATCTTACAAATTTAACTGTTTGGTTTCGATTTGGGTCGATAACATGCGAAAATTGTTCAGCTATTTATCAATAATTATTCATTTTAATTATTTAAATTTTAGGGATGTATTATAGTATATTGAGACTATTTTCTTTCTTTTAGCTATTCTACTTGCCCTGGGCTTTCTTTATTCCCCCTAGCGTATATTTAGTTCACAACCAGCTTAATTTATTATATCAGGCCATGTTGCATACACAAGTAAGTATATTCTTTATTCTTTCTCCTATATTTTAAAAATTGCGTAATGTAATCTGAAAATAAATTGTATTTTTACAGGTAATCCGTTCACTAGGACCTCTAGAGTACGTTCTAAACACAGCTAGCCACCACAGAGTTCATCATGGTAAGAGAAATCACATTCTTTAAGAAAATCCCGAACTAAATTATTTACTCGCGTATTTTCTCCTCTAAAATGAATATGCAAAGCAATTTCTTCATTTTTTTAGATTTAGTTAATCTTTATTGTTTCATAATTTTCTTATAATTCATTGCTTGTGGTTTAATATTGGTTTTAAGTGTATTGATAACGTGTAATTGAGACTAAAAACAATAAAATAAAATACAATTATAAAACTATTTTTACGCAGTAAGCTTTTATTTAAAACGGATATGATACTCGATGCACTAAAAGTAAAAAAAAAAAAAAAAAATAAAATAATGGGAATAATATATTATATAATTATATTAACAGAATCCATCTACAATGCTATATCGAGAATAATAAAATCATTGGACGCTTAAATAACAAAATCTATTAACTGCACTGTCAAACCTGTAAGCCATTATATTTTTCAATTTTCTTGTAATTTAATTGCATTGTGAAATGTAAGCCATAAAGTCTTGTGTTCTTTGGTATTATCAAATGTACGAAACTTCTAAAGACTTCAAATGAATTATCACTATGTCTTGTAAAGTGTCATAGAACTGCGAAAGACTGTAAAGGAGCCTTTTACTTAAGGCCAATAGAAGTAGCACTCGTCCTTACAGAAGCTAACATTTATGGCTTAAATCAAAGATAAGGAATTTGACTTAACTAAGTTGTTGTTATTTCGATTAACGGTTACCCAAAAGCAGTAACTGGCAGTTTGGCTCTGACCTAAAGTCGGTGTGACAAGCCTAATGGCAAGAATAACGCAATGTCGCAGAACACTGCTCTCGAGAGAATCAAATCATTAACGTGGCCTTCCTTCACTAGGCAAAAAACATTCTAATTCTATCCTCTAAAACGGTCCATTAAATACTGTCTCTTTTCTACCTAATTTGAATACAAGAGAACTAGAAATTTATGTTCTGACAGTAAAATGGGAAACGAGAAGGACAGGAAAGCAAATTAACATAACATGACTGCTTAATGAAAAGAAATGGAACCTTATAAGCCATTATCCTTTTAAATTTATTATGGAAGAACTACGCTTTTAATATTCGTGATTTAAATTCAGATAAATTCTGTAAAATAGCATAATTTTACTATTCTCATTAAATATATGATAAACTCTTTTTCTCTTTTTACTGCATTTATTATCATATCTATTTTTAATAAATTTGGTTCCATAAAAACTTTTTTTAATCTTAGTTTTTTTTATTAATTTTACCATAGGTAAAACGAGAGGCGAAAATTATGCAAATACTTTAATTTTTGAAGGACGCTGTTACCATAGAACATAAAAAATGTATTTAGAGAAATTGTCTAATTGTCGTTGTCATTATTTTCGTCGTCTTTTGGTCTGTCTTTTCACGTGGACTGGTCTTCAGAAGCATTAAGGACATTAGATATGTCCCTTTTCTCGAAGCTCTTCATTATTACTGTTTCATCATTCAGAGCCCATGCGTCCAAATTCGATGAGAAATCAAGCGAAAACAATCATCACATGTACGAATAACATTTCAAAATTTAGGGAAGCTCCCATTCTGATCGCAATGAGGAAGAGGAAAACTACTTAAATACTTGAAAAAATTTCAGAAAAACTAAGGGGGAGGGAATAAGAGAGTTAAAACGGTAACACAATGATCGCAGCAGTACTTTTAAAAATACTTTTATTCTTAAAGTAATGTAAAACTAATTATTAGATAAGCTAATTATGGAAATTAATTATCATAAATTAATTAAAAAAACAATGTTCGTTATTTTATTACAAGGTAAAAACAGATACTGCATTGACAAGAACTATGGTGGAGTTTTGATTATTTGGGACAGAATATTCGGAACTTTTGAAGCAGAAAAGGAGGAGGTAGTTTACGGTCTCACCCATCCTGTCAATTCATTTGAGCCTATTTATATTCAGGTAAGGAAAAAAATAAAGACCCTGCTTAAAGCACACTGACTAATTATTTTAATCATGTGCTTAAAAAACACTTTTTTAAACTCTTCTCGCTAATACTGCGATATCAACAAATACCAGAGCTAAACGTGTGATAAAATATGTACCAAATTTAGAGATACAATATTTCAAACATCCTTTTACATCATAATTCATAAAAGCAATTACAATTGCTTGCAAATAATAAACGTTTGTACGGCTAATCAAAGGAAAGCTAATTTTAAAGCGAAGACGCTTGAAATAATCTCTTCCTCTTTCTCAGCCTTGGCCGCTTTTGTAGTTATCCACATAAAATTATTGCATTTCCTCATGCGTGTTCCTCTGCTATAAGCGGTTGTAATGTCCGATTAGCAGTATATTAGCGAATCCGCAGTTCAAATGTTGGCTAGTTCCTGATGCCTCTGTTGTGATATAAACAGTTAGCACGTTTAGCGCTAGTTCTGAAAGGTCTATGGTTCGAAAATGGCGAGGACGCAATGGTTTTGTCACGCTTCTCGGTTCCAGAAAACTTAATTTCTAAAATGCAACTATGAAAAGTTTCCTTTGGATACCCACGAAAGCGTCCGTTCCTTACAGCAGATAGCCGTCTTATACTTTGCAGCATTCAATTACAGACTCTCTTCATTCCTGATTTTCTCATAAATACAAGATCTATCTCTAAAGTGATGGAAATCTATCTCTAAAGCTCCCCTTAACACAAAAATAGTCAAATGCAGAGAGGAAAGGGGATTTGGAGCAACTACAATCCATGCATTGAAAAACCCACCTTCTGCAAGAATCAAGAAGTTTCTTCAGAGCAAATCAAAATTTAAAGCAAGCATTTTGGAAGAGTGGTATCAGAGGGAAGGCTGTGAAGCAGCATTATAACAAAGAAGGTTTGATTAAGCTGAAAGAAAGAGTTTTGGGGGAAAAAACCGCCAAGACTACTGGAAAATTTGTTTCAATTTGCATCTAGACAATGCTCCTCCGCACATAGCGCTCTCCGTGAAGAGTAGTGTTGGGGTAAAAAATGGACTGTAACATTGAGACATCCTCCCTATTCCCCTGATTTAGCACTGCGGCTTTTTCCTTTCCATAAAACTAAAAACTATGCTATGTTGCTACAACCAAACAATAAACTATTTTACAGCTTACTCTCTACAAAAGGTTTGTCGGGAGAAGTGCATACTAACTCAGGGTCTGTTACTTTTGTGCTAATGTTCGAAAGAAAAGACAAATTAAAATAAAATGTCTTAGAAACTCTGTAATAACTATCTGACTAGTACTACACTGGTAATACATATATATCAAACCGAGCATATATATCAAGTCGAGCTGAGCAATACAGCTATTATTTTCAGATTTTCTTGGATACGAAATATACAGCACAAATAACAACAGTTAACAGCTAGTAGCTAAAAGTTAATAATTACACAAAAATGATTTAGGGCATTCTTAATCCTCATGTTATATGAAGATAGTAAATTAGTCTTCACTATAACACTGTAATTTGTTGATAATTTTAACAATTATTTGTCGTACAACAAGTCCAGTTTTGTTTCGCTAATGTTCAGTGTGTATTCTGAATAATTTATTTCCAAATGCTATTTAACAAATTAATTAATTTAAGATTTTAACTAAAACACTGTGTATTTTTTTCAGTTACATCACTATATGCACATATGTAAGACAGCCTGGAATATGAAAGGTTTTAAAAACAAAATATATGTCATAATCAAAGGTCCTGGGTGGTCCCCCGGAAAACCATGGCGTGGCTGTATTGAAGATGTACCAGATGTAATAATGAGTATAACTTTTATTCATCTTACCGAATAAAGTATTTTAAAACGTATGGTTATTCAGAAATTAAGTTTAATGGATGCTCGCAAAAGTAGAAAACTTGACATAGATTATAATTCTATTAGGTATTATGTATATTTGATGTACTGAAAACTTCTGGTGACATTAATGAAAAGACTAAAATGCTTGCTATATCTTTTGAATTTTAAGTTTGTTCATAAACTTATTTATTTGAATTTCAATTATTACTTATTAAGCGCTCTGATGAGCTTAAAGTTTCTATCAGTTAATGTTAGGTGAAAATCTTAGCTTTAACAAGGTTTCTAATTATAAGGTTTGCTCTTGTATGGTGTCACTGACTCCTAGTCTATTCAAAAGAAATGTACTCCCTGCTTATTTTGTGTCTTTGTTTCTTCCACTGCTGTAAGTAAATGACATCAGCGTACAGAAGAACTAACCTTCTTTGTCTACTGACCTCGAGGTTTAAGAGCTTTGGTGTTAAAAAAAATGCTGAAAGCATTCACAAACAACAAGAGACAAAAACACTTAGTTGCTATTATCCATAGAAAAGTGATGAAAGCGTCTAACAAGTATATAGGTGCAATGAACACTTGTTAGATGCCAATAAATACTCGTCAGTCAGTATAAAAATAAGGGAATGTAGAATATACACTGAGTGGCATCTATGACCACCTGGCAGTTTTAATTCTTTTGCATTGGTAGAGGCCAAAATCTGTTTTTCTCAAACAGCTGAAACGCCGTTATACACGAATATGAAATTCGGAATGGATTTGGATTTGTTGGAATGGTTCTCCTTCTCCCATGCCTTGAAGAATGCTACAGCGTTAATAATAATGTACTTAAGTGAAGCGATTACTTTTTCCTTGGGGATTCTTGTGCGGTTTCACAAGCTGTATGCAGTTTCCCCTTAGGATATGCTTGCAACTGCGAGCATCAATACTTAAACGTTGACACTAAACAAAGGAGAAGGAACACGCATTCAAATAACAGAGCTACTTTTAGTCGCTTCAAAAGAATGATTGGCACGTCATTTAAAAACTCCCGAAACAGTGACCCATGCACTGATGTAATGGAGGAAAGTAGAAGGTAGGATATGGACGCATGCATTCGGGTGACTTACAGATGTCTGAATGCTCGGGCATTTGGGGCGACTTCGTTGTGAGAGAGTTTAAAGAAATTAGCAATGGCTGCACAGTATTGCTGCGAGAGATCTATGGAAGTATATAAAAAAGAAATGTACAGCTTCTGAGATAGTAATTTAAATGAATTGTTTGTGATCATATGAGGAATTAAATGTGATTTGAAGGACTTTGAATGTTGGATGCTTGTATAATCTCGAAGCCATAGAGTGAATATCAGTGAAACAGCCGCATTGCTGAAATATTTAAGAGCAGCTATAGTTTAAGTATTTAAATACCGAATTGTCAGGCAAAACCAAACTCTCAATGTGCAACTTCTGGTCGTCGCCGATAGGCAAATGTTTACGCAGAAAAAAGAGTCTCTATATTTGTAAAAGACAACGCAATATTAACAGTACAGCAGATACTACATCACAAATTTGCTTGGAAATGAAAGCATTGGACAGCGAATAATTGGAAACAAGTTTCAGATACACCATGCTAATAAGCGAGTGAGAATTCGGCACAAACAGCACATAAACAAGCACGCTAAGTGCATTCCTATAACCCTTCAACCCGGTGGAAGCAATGCAATAGTTTGAAAAACATTTCCCTATCATGCTTTGGGCTCTTTAATCCATGCATGTTTGAACAAGACATGCATTTTGGCATAATGCTAATATCGTACAACACTGGTATGCGGAACATTAAGGAGAGTCTTCTTTGGTTAGGTGGCCTCCCGCAATTCCCAGATCTCAGTCCCATTTAGTATTATAGGCTGAGGTTAAAATGAGTCATTAGCCATCTAGATCCATTACCATCCAATCTAACGTTACTGGAAAATACTATTCATCAAGCATGATCTGTTAACATCTCGTATAGTTAATGCGAAGGAGAATAAACGCTGTATTAAAGACAAAAGGTGGACAAGAGAAATACTGAAATAATGAATTGGTCACCCAATGTATAATTACTTTTATACTGGCAGCTAAAGTTTTGATCGGAAATTTATCAAATAAAAACTACATTATGAACATTTATTCTTAAAATATCGCTTACGGACCTGTCAGATTTCAGAGGTCGATAAAAGTTCTAGATTCGAAAATCAGCTTTTGTTTTGCGCGTAAGTCATACAAAAAAATAAAGTTATAATTTGAAATGGTATCGACTTAAATCGCTACACAAAGGAAACGCGAGTATTGATTGTGAAATCTCATTACAGTAATAGTGAGTATTATGTGTAGACAACACATATTAAATCACTATGCCCTCGATGTAGCCGGTTTGTTGAAACCATCGCTATTATGTATGATAAGTGTTATTTCAAGACCCAAGAATCCGAACGTAAACAATGAAAATAAAGAACTTAAAAGAGAAAACTTAACATGTTATTAGCCATTTCGATAGGCAGATATGTATGAATTTCATCAAGAGATTACGGTGCTGTAGAACAAGAGGACATATGCTAGATATTATTTTTTATTCTTAAGTTAGAACATTTATCTGTTGTAAGTATTTGAAAATATTTTGCCTTTTCCTAAAATAAAATATTTTATTTTTCACATGGAAAGGAATTACAGATATCCATATACAGCTCGAATTTCTTAATGTTCATCCTAATTCGAAGTTAAACTTTTATGTATTCTCTTACATTCTAAATATATAATTAAATATGAAAATGATTTTTTTATTTCATGGGCCTGCATTATTATGTAGGGTTTTACTTGTAGAAGCTTAAATCAATGTCTTTCTGACCCTACTAGAACGAGAAGCGAGTTATTGCTCCAGCCGGAATTCAAATGATAGAGTTTTACGAAGGTTTTCATGCCTCGAAAGCGCTACTTAGGATATGTATGAGATTTATATACAGCACTTTTCTAATACAGATGTTTTGACACATAACCGTAATTTTTCTGAACTGACATGCCAATTTTTTTCCATATTTCGATTCTACGACTCAAATTATGCCAGACTGCCACAGTTCTGTAAAACTCGCATGAGTACATTTTAAAAAATTAGCTCTCAAAATTTTAGCTCCTAGGTGTTAATTAAATTTGGCAGATATTTGTTTGTCTCTTTTTTGTATTAAACTTATTTCAGTCTTCCTTTCACATTCCGAAATTTAGTTTCATTTCAAATAGAATTATTTCTGATTTATCTTTAAAATTTGTATTTTTAAATAATTTTTATAAATTTTTCGAAAACAATTTTGAATTATAACCTATAAAATTTTTAACATTATCTTAAAGTAGATTTTCTCCTTAAATTCCGTACCAAATTTTACACAGTTTATTTAGGCATAATTTCAGTCGTAGATTCTAAATATGGAAAAAGCTTGGCATGCCATATCAGAAAAAGTCCGATTTTGTGTCAAAATACCTATATTAGAACAACGCTATATATAAATCTAATATATATCCTAAGTCGCGCTTTCGAGACATGAAAAACGCAGTTTAAATTTCGTCAAGCGGCCCAGTAGAACGAGAGATATAAAACTGTCCCCCCCTTTTTTTTTCCCGCAGTGTACTTCAAGAAGATATCTGATAATTAGATAGCTCATTATTTTGAAAGACAAGACCTTTATTCTAACATTTTATGGGAAAATGCGCATTACTTTTCTCTGTCACTAGGAAAGAAATTAGGGGGAGAATTTATATTATTTACTCTCCATTGCCTCGATTATTACGTAAGAAAGGGAAAAAAATCTTATTAATTTCAAAGACCAATTTGCTTCAGAAAAATGAAACGATTTATTTTCCTTCCTTTGGACAATTTTGTTCACTTTAAAGACCGTTTTGACTTCAAATCATCCAAATGATTTATTTTCCTTATGTTGGTCTGAAAATGCTTCTTCTGTCTTAGAAAACATCTTTAAAATTCAACTTATATTACTAGAAATGTTATGTCAATAAATATTACGAAGGATTCATTTAAGAAATCCTCTGCAGAGTTAAAAAACATTATTACAACTTTCTGAAACAACTAGAAACAATCCATAATCCATTTCCTCTTACCATTTGTTCACGAATTCAATGAGTAAACATTTTTTCCTTTTGTCGATTTCTCAAAATGGCGAATTCAATTTAAATTGTTTTTGAAATAAAATAAAACTTCTACTACAAATTTCATTTCGGAAACAATTTAGTTGGCCTCGGAAAATTCTTTGAGGATATCATGTTATCAAAAGTAAGAATTTTGGAATAATATAAGTGATTTAAGCAAGGCAGAGAATTTCTTCAAAAATAAGTCACTCTTTGCTGGACAAACTACTATAAATAATGAGTACAACACCTATAAGGTGACAGATTTCATACTTATGATCGTACTTTAACAATCGCTGAGATTGTCGAACAATTTCTTGTATCATTGGAATCTCGTCAAGCAATTTTAAGGTACCTTTTAGGCCTGTGACATATTGCTATTCTAAAAACGGCAGTGATGAGTGGCTCGGAACATGATTCCTCAAAGCGAAACCTTCTTAAAATGCATTTTATTCAGAGATGAAATAATGCTCTACATCTTTCATAGACAAACATTTCAAAAAAGAAGTGAATGGCATTGCAAAAGTGAAACAAGATTAAGAAGACCACGTGAAAATTGGTCAAAATATTGTTCACTGTTCTCTTCAAATGTTGGAATGATTCATGAGTTTCTACTCGACTGTTAACGAAGAATATCATTTAAATGTTTTGAGGAATTTGAGTGAAAACGTTTGTAGGAAAGGATCTGAATCGTGTTTTTATGATTTTCATTAATCCTTTACAGTGTATTCTCGTTTAAATGCTATTCTAGTTCTTGAATATTTCGCCGACAATTCAAGAAATACGGTCCTGCAAAGTATGACTCTTTTTTTTTTTTTTATTTCAAAGTTAAAAAGTCCATCTTCATAGTCATTGTATAAATCTTTTAACGTGAAAACAAATTACAGAGGTAATCAAGTAAATTTATTCTGCTCCATAAAATTAATGTGAAACAAATAAAATCCGATTGTGATGATCACCCGTAAGATCTTTTTTTGCAGTTTAATATGGTTTATCGGAGCAGATTATTTATAGCCATGTCCCAGGTGGAATAGCGAAACACTTCATAGGCTATTAGACGAATAAGCATTTTGACTAAAACAGAAACAATACATATCTTCTATATATTTAAAAAGGGAAAAAATATACAATGTAATTCCATAAAAGTGTTCACTGTATTATTTAGATATATCATGAAGTAAGTGCATTTTTATTTAAATCACTCATTAGAAAAGTAAAAAAATATATATATATATTGTTAAAAACTGCATCTACTGCTTTTAAATAGTGTAGTTTGATAATTAATAAAAGACAGATTAAATATGAAAGAATAATATCTTACGCTTTTTTTCGAATGACAAGAGACTCGAATGAAAAGTGGAATAACGTAGACTGACAGTCCTTTTAACTTAACAAAAAAAAAAAAAGCATCTGTCAAACCTGAACAGATTTCTCGAAAATGACTTTAAAAATTATTCCTATTCTAGTTTCGGAAAAACCTTTGGCGAAACTTCCTTGAAATTTCCTTGAAGATTGTAAGGTTACTGTAATTTCACATAACCAGTTACTTTATGTTTAAGATCTCTGCTGTCATTTTTTCTTTCCGTTTCCCTACCAGAATGCAAATCAGGTTAAAAGTATTTAAGATGATGTTTTCGGATTGTAAGGCAGCTCCAGTCTGATATTGTACCTTTGCAAATGCGTGAATTCTGAAAGACCACCAGCATCGACACCGTCCAGTCTCCAGACCTGCCCGGTCTTCAATTTTAGAAGCAAAGTGCTTCAATCTCTTCTCTCCCTGTCAGGTACTTACATCTTTTGGAGAATATTCTATACGGATGCACCACAAGTCAGGCCCTAAGGGAATTTCAATAACTGGCAAGAGTAGGAAATATTATCACCTGCTGAAAGCCAGTATACCAACCAAGTATCAAAGTATCATGTAAGGCAGAGCGCGTTTCTGCTTCTCGAGGCCCCGTTACTAAGTTTTGCAAGCTCTAATAGCATGAAATTCTTCGGCTTTGTATTCAAGTGGTTGGATGATTATTGTCACGCACGAGCCATGCATTTATATTCAAGGTTTTTAATTTATTAAAAAAGGTTATTTTGTAACATTACCAAGTCTTTGTCTTTATCTTCAGACGAGCGATAATTTTCTAAAGTCTATTCGGACTTTGGATACCAGTTTATGCTACCAAAGAGCACCAAACATAGCGAATGCCTTTTAATCACACACATAAATGAATAATGATAAAAAAAATAATTCGTTTTTTAAATAACTTCTTATTGAGGCTAGCAAAATAATTTTTCTTCTAAATCACGTATTTTATTTTTAAAACTTTTGATATTTACTGAGCAAAGTATCTTAAAACAAGATATTATGTATAATTTTATATAAGGTATGATAACATGATTCACTGATTTATTTCAGGCGAAAGCTCCTGATGTGAAGTATGATCCACATGTTCCCCTCACTTATAAGCTTTATGCAGTTTTACATCTTGGTGTGCTTCTTCTTGCTTATGCAGAAATAACTACAAGAAGTCTGGTAAGTTTAAATTATGTATTTAAAATATAATTTTATTCATACATAAATATTGATTTTAAAAAAAGCTAAAAATACCTCTAAGCATTTCTGTCTTCTTTTATCCAAAACTGCTATATTATCAAACCAAAAAAAATGTAATAATAAATGCTGCTGTGTGCGGTATTTAAAATGTTCACTTTTTTTAAAGTCTTTCTGCATAAAATTCAAACACTGTATTTATATTCCATTAAATTTCTTTCAATATTACTCTTTAAGCTCAGTTTCCGTAAATTTTATGCAAAAAGTGTAAAAAGAGACTCGCAATGGAACTCAGATTGAAATATTTAAGGCAATATCATTTGCTGTCAATGCATCTTTTTAAAGTATTGGAATGTAAAGCTAATTTAGAATACAAAGTACTTGAAATTCATTAAAAAATTTTTAAGTTCGTTTGAGGTCTTTAATTTTTTAACTTTTCATTTTGATTATTTTATTTATTAATATTTAATTATTCTTTTTTATTATTGTACTAATCCGTGGTCCAGAATCCTGTAAGAATGCAATCCTGTAAGCCCCAGAATCCTAAAGATGACAGTTACAAATGATCCAGAATCCTATAAGATGCAACTTGAATATATTATTATATTATTATTATATGGTACAAGATATGGATTATGTGTAGAGGGATTTTTGCGAATATCTTCTGACAAAAGCTATCTTATTTTAATTAAATAGGAAAAAAAATAAAACAAAATTAATAAAAAAACCAAAGTCCACACAGAACTGTATGTAGTCTTCCATGAATCGTAATATTCAATGTTATTACAGCTTGGCCCATGGTATCAATAACTGATGCCCATAATGTAGTTATTCTTTACATATACCATGAAACTTACATAAATTCTCCTTGAATTTTTTTTTTAAATTACACCAGAAAACACTGATCTATCTAGCCTTATTTACGTCAGCTTGAACTTAAGTATTAAAGGAATAGACGACTTTTAAAAGTAAAACAACTGTATCTATCATAACACCACCAGCTTACAGTTTTTCTATTTACGTCATCCAGATCGTAAGTCTTCTGAATCTCAGAAATATTTACGCCTTCGCGAAATGAAAACAACTATGTCATAAGTCCTTTTAAACCAGTCAGCCATTAAGGCGCCTGAATCTTTGAAAACTCAAGCATTGACAAATAGAAAAACGCTTATATCATAATACACTGGCTTACGATTTCTCGATTTGTATCATCGATCCGTTAAGCCTCTTTATGCTTGACAAGATGGGAAACAACTGTTACATCATGACCTCAAATGTCCTAAATCTTTAAGAAATTCACGCCATAAGCTGTTTCGTTAAGTGTGATAAACCTACTGTTCGGAATAACGTTTGGATAGCTTAAGTTAGATAGTGTTTGGATTATGTAACGACGTTGTAATAGCGACGCTTTAGTGACGCCTAATAAGGCGTTACTTAAGGGTCTACGTTTTTTTAACTACTAACTAATAAAAGTCTACATTTTCTGCAATTTCGCGCTTTATAAAGGAAACTACAAAACTAATACCTTATTAGTTCTGTAATTTACTTTTGGGGATCGTTGCAATAAGGTCTTTATTCCGTTTTACTCAACCGTTGCGTTTATTAAAATGTTATTTAACATTTTAATTCATTGTTTTTCTAAATTCTGACATATATCTACTTACTTGTTATTCGGAACATATTAATAAAAGGTATATTTAATATAAAATTATTTTAATAAAATGTGAATTAGGTAAGAATGGCTTATAAAATAAAGAACTTAAATAAAAGTTTCAGATATGTTCAGATCTTTCTGCTTTTAATTGACGTAATAATATAAGCATCATTATGACTAAGTGTTTATTGCTTAATTTTAATTATTTCTACATATGAAATGCTTATTAAGTTTAGAAAATGGATTTTGCATGAGTTCTCTTTCTTTAAACTATCTGTTATGAAAAATTTTGTAAATTATTACATATGTTAAACTTGAAGTTTTGTCTACAAAATTACATAAAACTGTTCTCCTGATAAATCAAAGTATAGCAAAATATCAGTATTTGTTTCTGCTGAACATACATTGTTTTGCTTGTACATGTTGAGATTTAAATATTTTTCATTTCCTCAAACACTTCATTTTAACTGTTATTCAAATTCACTGTCCTTTTCTCCGATGCTTTCTCATACGAATTTTCTACAACATTCATTATTTTTTTAATGGCAGCCCTTTTTAGGCTTTCGCCGAAACTAAGGCCAGAAGCCGTGGTCATTTTATTATGGAGGCACCTAATAGCCGATCGCTGTTACCTCCTATGAGAGAACAGACTATTTTCGAACCTGGCCTTTCGCAATCGCAAATCGGCTCCGCTAACCACTATGCCGTCTAGGAGGGGCATTTATTATTTTAATTACCCGCTTCTACATGAACTTTATATAAATTGACAATTTTTATCCTTTTCAAGACGTAACAGATTTTCATTAATTAATGACACATAAAAAATATTCCTTTGATAACAAAAAAGCTATCGAATTCCAAATTTTTTTAATTAATTTCTGTAATTTATATTCACATATCATGCTATATAAATAACAGTGTTAATTAACAACAGAATAGGCTATTCCGTTTCTGCTTTTCCCCTTCGCAGTACGTTCTTAAAGGCCTGCCCACACGAGTACGCTCGCGACGTAGTTGTCGCTATTTTTTTTTTTTTTTCCCACCGGCGTAAATTCACATTAATCTTTTTAACAGAAATATTGCGTAAAATTACTTTCTATTGAATTCTCACGTGAAGGAATAACTTTTAATTGAATAAAATCTATTGAATTTTTGTGTAAATGAGTAACCATTAATGCTGCTATTATGCGAAGTTAAAGGCTATTACAAACTTCAAAGTAGTTCAACGTTTCAAATTTTCTATAAGCCATTTATTCAATCCAAAATTCATTAAGACAATTTCTAAATAAAAAATCTTCTATTCATACTTTACAAAATAAAATTTTCCTTTATTATGATACATTTTATCAATTAAAGTAAAAACCATATAAAATTAAATTTGCAATTTGTAAACTTTAGAAACATAATTAATATATTTCATTGATATGGATAAATCTTCATCAGCACGTTTTTTGATAAATCTTTTAGATTTCAGTTATAAGCAGCAAAACGAGAATTCATATTTATCACATATAACTAATATAACAAGCATTAATGTACACTGTCTTCAGGCTCACTTAACAGCGTTATATTTCTTTCACATTATAACACAGATCACATATCATCATTCGTGTAAAAAGGCATGCGGCCTGTTGAGGCCTTAACCAGTCTATATTTCTTAAGCTCCTAATGGCATAAAGATGAGAAAAAAAAATCCGAAAAAGCGGAAAGTTTTAACGCACTGGGTGCGGATCTCACAAGAGAAAGAAGTACGACACCATCCGTTGATTTCAATATAATCTTCAGTAATGGCGTATCTTTGGAGTGACGTTCATGTGCCGCCATCTGATGCCATGGTAAAGCAGTGACATAACTTTGCAGAAGTAGATTTTCCTTGAGATAGTTTCTTGTTAATAAATATATATAATAATATATAAGGCAAATTCCATTTGGCATAAATGCAGTAAAGAGCATAAAAATAAGTTGCAAAAAGAGAAACAATTTTGTACAGGTATATGTGCGTAAACAATTATATCGGGACTCGAACCGGTCATCATATTATAACTCAGAATGCACGAAATTTATATCATTTGAAGAATTATCTAATCGTTGCCACATGTTCTCTTCAAATACTATAATAAATCTAGAACGATGTATAAAAGACATTAAGCAAAACAAAATAAAAAAGAAACAGTTTTCAAAGACGATTCAGTATTTATCATTCAATTATTTCATTTCTCACTTCGCGACAAGCCAAAAATAGATAAAAACTGACAATATCTATATTAAAAATTACGAAATAAATTTTAAACACTTATTTCCTCGAAAAAGTTCCAGAAATGATTAAGCATGATTTAATTTGCAATAATAAATGAAGGCGTTATATTTCTTCTTGAAACGCTTAGTCTCTCTAGTAGATTAGCAACAAATCTACTATTCTGCTGTTTCAAATGTAAACAAACATGTCCCCCATGCCCCCATGTTAGTTAAACATTAGGCTTAACCGCACTTAAACAGATTTTAAATTGTTGATAATTCCACAAATATTGCTTGCAGATTTCCTAAAGGCATAAAATCTTAACCGAAGATAAGAACAACATAATTCAATCATTTTTAAAGCAAAAAATGCACACTTTACAAACATATAAGAGTATAGAAACTGAGATCACCGAGCCGGGTAACGAAGTGGATATATATATATACAATATATATACGTTTGGTGCGGCCGATTGCAACCAAAATACGAGGTGCACATCTACATGTTATAGCAGTCCTATATACAAAATTTCAACGATTTGAGTTATGCGAACGTAATTGCGTTATATGTATCTCGCATAACTCAAAACTCGTTTTTGAGTTATGCGAGATACATACGTACGTACGTACAGACACCACGAAATATTCTCTTCAGAATTCATTTTAAAGCAGTTTTATAATTTTCTTGGAGGAAAAGAGTCTTTTATTCTGTCCTTACGTACAGATGTCACGCAAAAACATCGTTAAATTGCATTCGATAGCTGTCAAAATGGATATTTTCGTTGAAATATGCTGCCTGAAACTTTTCTCGTTTACAATACTTCCTTTTTTCCTCGTACAATGAAGTAAAAACTTGATTCAGTCAAAACACAACTTCATTTTGATAGAATAACGAACTGTACTTCGAACAGAACAATTCAATCTTTCATTTAAATAATTTGTCCATGCAACAATTTATCGAATTAAGAAGTTCTTTTTTATACATAACATAAACAACTACGTCAGAAATTAAGTATCGTCAGCATATTTTACCGTTAGCAATGCATTGATCAAAATCCATCAGCAAAACACAAATGTCTTATTAGATGCCAAA